TATATATATATATATATATATATATATATATATATATATATATATATATATATCTGTGTGTGTGTATGTGTGTGTAAAAATTTCAGATACAATAGAATAAAGACAAAAGGAAAACTTAACTTTAGTTATACATAGAAATAAATTCAACCACAAATTTGATCTAAAGAATGCCATATTTATTAAAAGAGAATTAAAATTCTCGAAAGTGCCACTATCGAATCTTATCAAAATATAAATCTGCGTCCCGTATTTTTTCCAATATCTCTATTCCTGAAATAATTACTACTTTCCCAAACCAAGATACATGACTACAAAAATGTTAAAAAATTAAAAGAAAACGGTTAAATTCATAACTTCATGTTATTTAAAATATACAACACATAAATTAATCCTAAACTAAAATAAAATATATACTAATTAGCATGAAAATACATTCTAAAACATCACTTTCGTTTATTATTGAATTGTGTCACTTCGTGTCTTCCTTAGTCTTGCCTGATATTTTTTTTACCATAACTTAGACTTCAATACAGGGCGCCAATACGGAGATATTCTAACTCAGAAACCTGATCTCGCAAGCCATTATTAGTAATTTCGATTCACTCTGGGTGAGAACAAACTTTTGGAAATATCAATCACATTTACAGGCTAACTGAAGAGGAGCAAACCAATATCACAACTCATTATTAAAGTCTTGAACCAAACATAGTCAATAGACAGGACTTATCTATCTACTGCCTCTTTTTTGCTGTTCGATACGTACATTTTGATTTGCAAATATCCATATTCTCTATCCGTTCACAATGCAAGTATATTGTTTTTTCTCTCACTTGTATCTTCTATCTCTTCCCCCAACTGCACACGCCTATTCATTCTTGAATGAAGATACTGCCACCACCACCCTCATTGCCACCACCCGCCTCCATCATCACGACATACCACAGTAAATGCACATATAATCTCCATCCGTTTCCCAGGCTTTATCCTCTTGCTTCGCGCACATCTCTCTTGCAGTAGGATATTCTCTCAATCAGGCAAACATATCTGATTTTTCTTATCCACCCACCACCTCGTTACATTCTCTTTCTCTTTCTCTCCCCTTTACGCACCCACAAATAAACAAGCACTTTAAATTCTTCTGTGTATGAGGAAAGAACAATGCCAATGTCGTGCTTTGAAAACATTGATTAAGACAAATCAATATTCGTATTCTTAGGACAAAATACAAATTCTCTAAAGACGCCATTCAAAGACAGTCCGCAAAATGATTTGCATAGAAAATGGCCAGTCATAAAAGACATTATTTTAAAATAATATATATATATTCTAAAAAAGTAATAGCATCTATACATAGAAATGATTCACTTTTGGGACCTATCAGCCTGTACAGTCTTGGTTCATTGTTTGGTTGGTTGATTTTGGTTAGCGGTATAACAACACCTCTGTGGGTTATTTAATACCAAAATCTACATATTTTTAACAGTTTTATGGCTTCAACTACAGATAAAATGTATCGTTGATCATTTTGCTTTAAATTTATATTATTGATAATATTGCTATAAATATGTATTGTTGGTTGATTTTGGTTAGCGGTATATCAACACCTCTGTGGGTTATTTACTGCCGAAATCTACATATTTTTAACACAATATTATGCTTTCAATTACAGATATTTTGTACATAATTTTATAATTTCAAGGTAAAGTATATTTTTTTAAATATATAGTTAAAATATAGTTTGTAGATCATAAAATGTATTGTTGGTAATTTTGCTATAATACTTTTTTTTACCATTACATTGATTGGCATTTTGCTATAAAAATGTATTTTTACTCATTTTATTATAAAAATGTATTGTTGATTTTTGTTTGGGGTTCACTATTTACCCAGAGCTGGGACCCCGGGTTCGGGTGGATCTGGAAACAATAGCAGTTAAGAGGTAGTTCCACAGTTTTTAAAACCTCCAATGTCTTGATCAGAGACCTTGCTGCCGTATGTAGTTTATCGTCATACACAAGACGATATACATTCTCGGCTTGAATGAAGTCTACATAAGATATCCATATATTTGCTTACATATATATATATATATATATATATATATATATATATATATATATATATATATATATGTGTGTGTGTGTGTGTGTGTGTGTATGTGTATGTAAATATTTCAGATACAATAAAATAAAGACAAAAGGAAAACTTAACTTTAGTTATACATAGAAATAAATTCAACCACAAATTTGATCTAAAGAATGCCATAAATTAAATTTCTCGAAAGTGCCGCTATCGAATCTTATCAAAATATAAATCTGCGTCCCGTATTTTTCCCATATCTCTATTCCTGAAATAATTACTACTTTCCCAAACCAAGATACATGACTACAAAAATGTTAAAAAATTAAAAGAAAACGGTTAAATTCATAACTTCATGTTATTTAAAATATACAACACATAAATTAATCCTAAACTAAAATAATATATATATTAATTAGCATGAAAAATACATTCTAAAACATCACTTTCGTTTATTATTGAATTGTATCACATCGTGTCTTCCTTAGTCTTGCCTGATTTTTCAGTTAACCTGATGAATATTTATGAGCATTTTTAAGCTTAAAAATTTTGAAAAAACCATAACATTTTTGCTCTTGTATATAAATACTTGTTATAAAATCAAATTCTTACATTTACCTTGATAAAGACGCTCAGAGAACGAAACGTGTCGGCTATGTTTTTTGTCTTTATTCACACACACACACACACACACACACACACACACACACACACACACACACATATATATATATAAATTAATTATATTAAGAAACAGACAACTTTAAGGGTTCATGTTGTTTATAATTTATTTCCTTACAATCGAAATTCGATTCCAATTCCTCAGATTAACATTTTCATACAAATAAATGGCTGACAAATATTATCCATAAGAATTACTTATTCGTCACCCATTTATTTGTATGAAAATTTTGATCTGAGGAATTAGAATCGAATTTCGATTGTAAGGAAATAAATTAATATATTAATATTTGATCGGTTTTTACATTGAGCTCTCTGTATTATATCCTCCCTGGTATTATCCATACGGATTACCAAACACATATTTACCCATATATATATATATATATATATATATATATATATATATATATATATATATATATGTTTAATATTCTTTTTATAGGTACAAATATTTAAGTAACTGCTCTGTTTATAATAAACAGTATTAAACAACATTTACCGGCCTGAATGTCCGATACGAACCTGTATCCTATATGGAACCGTCTTTTAGCTTGACGTACCTTTAACCATTTGGCCACGAAGGAGTGTTCGGTTAGCAAGGTCGAATTTATTGTATTTAAACTTCAATCTTCCATGAATCTCTCACGTACATTCATGTCTGCTCATGGCGTATCAAATGTAAACAAATGACGTCACACATTATGAAATGGATAAAGCCCGACAATTATTTTAAGACATTTTTATGTTTAACATTCTTTTTATAGATACAAATACTTAAGTAAATGTTCTGTTTATAGATGCTGGTATATGGCGGGAAATATGGAAACATGCTGTCGTAATTTTACTTTTGTATTATACAAGTTAAATTGAGAAGAAACATGGAACTAAATCAGTCTCCTAAATTATTTGAATTGGAAATCAGCGGACGTAAATTTAACGGGTACCAAACATCACAGCGCCCTCTTTTTTTGAAAACTCACCAGAAAAGACAATGGCAAAAAACAAGCGTCTTGTGTATGACAATAAACTACATCCAACATCAATGCATCTTATTGGGGGATTGGAGGTTTTCAGGAAGTGGAATTACCTTTTAATTGCTGTTGTCCCTAGGCTCACCGAGCTCAGTGGGTGGGTAGCAACTGTTAGAACCCCAGCTATGGGAAAATAGTGAAACCCCAAAACTGGGCTCAAAACACTATGAAAGCATAAAAATATATTCTTATAGAAAAACTTCCAGCAATAAATTTTAATAGTTAAAAGAAAAAAAATATTCCAGCAATATATTTTAATCGTGAAAAAATTACCAAATCTCCCAAGGAATTTAAAATTCGACTTTAAAAGACCCATATGTCGTTAAACAAACCCAACCAAAAAAAAAAAAAAAAAAAAAAAAACCCCAAAAAACAAAATACAACTTTTAAAAATATTGTAAACGTTTGCTTTGCCGAATGCTTTTGATCGTGATGTAGTGAATTTGATGAGGATCGTTAGTGGAGAAAAAGCTACCATGGTTACGAAACAGGACACGATAGCCATGATATATCTTTAGAAATTTCAGTCAAATTGTCATAGATTTTGAAATGTAGCGGAAGAGTTCCAGCTTTATAGAAATGTATTGATAGTCATAGAATAACGTAAATAACAAATACCTATGCAAATATAACGATGACGTAAGAATATCGGTGAAGACAAATATTATGATACTATAAATATTAATAATCCAAATTAGTTTATTGAAATCCTTGTATCAATTCTTGTATCATTCGAACTATTGATCTCATCTTATTTGATATAGATGCTCTTATAGACACGACCTTTCTTTCGACCAAGTTCCCTCTGGTTATCATCAGGTGTCCATTGATTGGCTGATATGGGATATCTAGTGATTACTGTGATATTTTGTTCCTTTAATATTGTGGAAAAAATTGAATTAAATTGGTATTTTTGGTCAACATTGAAATGATTATATATATATATATATATATATATATATATATAATTTCTTCATTGTTAATTTATATGGTTCTTTTACTGCACTAATTGCACCATGTGAAATTGTTTAATGTTTTCCATTGCCACTGGCATGCTGCTTTCATACAGTCAATACTTGCACTGCTGATCAATATCTGATCAAGTATTAATTTCCAATCAAGATTATGATTTTTACTTCTTGGGTTAAATTCGTCTGTTCCTAATTTTTTGCTATTTTTAGCCATTATACTAGTCGCACATCCAAGCTTACAACACCTGGGATCTCCAAACGGTCACCCATTTAGGTACTGTCCAATCTCAACGTTGCTCAACTTCGGTGATCGTACGGAAACCGGTGTTTCAACGTGTTGTGGCTTAAATTCGTAAAGTCTAGGTACCATAGTGGAAGGTTCGTCAGAATAATTACCATGAAAGTGTTTATAGAAGAGACACAAGGAATCTACGTTATGGTGTTGGGAAAATAACTGAAGTATATTTATAATTTTTACAAGACGAGGGAGTCCACCATACATAAAAAATAGGGAGTTAGTTTTATTTCAATCATTTCACCCCAGGCAAGGCAATAAAGCTAATAAGATTCAAGCGATTACTCAGTGTAAAATAATATTGATTGGTTGATTGGTTCGCTTTCTATGGCTTATCAACCCTTTGCAGGTTATTTAAAGCAATACAATATTTCCAGATTCTGAGATTTTTTGAGATAATAATAGTTTTAGTAATACAAATCTACTAATTAACCCATATCTGGGGGAGAATAAGCAGATTCATACTTTTCCCAGTAGTATTTTTGTGTATTTACACAAAAATACTACTGGGAAAAGTATGAATCTGCTTATTCATAGCAATACCGACGGGAATTGGGACTCTCCGATTAATAATTCCGAGCCATTAACCATTATACCAGTCGCACATCCAAGCTTACAACGCCTGGGATCTCCAAACGGTCACCCATCTAGGTACTGTCCAAGCTCGACGTTGCTCAACTTCGGTGATCGTATGGGAACCTGTTTTTCAGCGTGATGTGGCTTAAATTCGTAACGTGTGGAAAGTGATATTTATTCTGTACAATACAGAAATGTGGCACAAAGCCAAAAAGGGGATTGGGGAAAGGACGGTCTTCTTCTGTCTTAACTATAACTTAGCTAGCCGCAAACACTGACCCAATCATACGAAACAATATTCCTTACACCAAAACAACACATTCATTCGTACCTTTCTTACTACAACCACCATAATACATCTTTGTCTCTATGAAAATACTAACTAGTCCTCATATTTACAATTCGTTGTTTGTGTGTGGGAGGGGGGAGGGAATAAAACAACAATTCTAAAAGTTAACCCCCATGAGTATTTACAATATGCAAATTACAAAAACTATTTACAAGAAACTAAAGAAAATAAGATTAGTAATACCCCCCCCCAATTACTAAATGTGACAGAAACATCACTTCACTGGCCGAAATCAATGCGGGACTATAATAGTATAAAACATTCATTCATCCCAATCACTCACACTGACATGTACTCATTCAGACACAACAACAAATAAGAAAAAAAGCACTCACGCGAAAACGAAAGGCGCCCCGCATCCACCAGCGAACTGATATCACTGACCATCTAACGAGGGAGGGGATGGGGAATTAAACTTAAAGAAAAAAAATAGGGACATAAATAAAAGGGGGGCAATGAGCATACATACCCTAGCTAAGTTAACTGAAAAAGGAAACTAAAGCATCAAAAAAGAAAACCTAAGCTAGCCTAGTTTCGGGATGGGTTGCACTACTTCAACCCAGGAAGAGCAATATCCTGATGCCTAACCGGCATCAATGTGCCACTCAAGGTCAGCCCGTTTCACATGACACCAGCGCGCAAGATTCACCCACCTTCTGAATTCTGATGAAGTGAGCCGCCGCCTTTCCGTCCTAATCTTGACTTTAAGCTGATGCTTAAATTACAAGATCAGTTGAGAAGAGGTGAACTTCTCGCCTCCATAGAATCCCTTCTGACGTGTCGTTCAAATCACGACTCTCATAACACCTAGCAAGCAGTGGAACACATACTGTTCAGCCTTCGTCAGCGGCGGTGCCACATTGCTACAAACGGAAACGGACTGAAGGACAAAGGACTTTCCCTGCAGCATGCGGACCATGAGGCCTTCAACAAACTTGCACAACGGCACTACCTGGCTGCAATGAAAGAAGGCGTGACCCAAGGTCACGACCTCCCCACTACAACGTTGGCAGTTTGGAGAATTCTCCAAGCCAGCTGAGCAGAGTCTCTTGCCGACCCAGAGGGCCCTACGAATCACCAGCCAGGTGAGTGATGCTTCATCGTTATTGAGGCATTTCAACCCGGGCGCCCAAGGATATATTGAGCGAGCCTTCTGCTTCGTCAGACCGAGATCGTCAATCAGTTCATCATGCACGCCCCCCCCGACTAAAATTTGATATAATGCCCTACGAGACAACGCCTGGACGTTGGAGAGGCCATCCGACGCCCGTAAGAGGCGCTTCAGAGCAATACGACATTCACGATAGAAGGCGCATTCGGCTCGGGGTAAACGGCGGGCCTCCTCCTCGCACGAATGCACACTTCTCAGGGCGTCTTCTTTCCAGAAGGCGCCCTCCTCATCCGAATCGCGACACATTCGATCTAGAAAGCTAATGCGAAGCATATATTGACGAATCTCAATGCTTGGCATGCCCAGAACGCCTTCAGATGGATGAAGGCAACAGCTCTCCCGACTGACTCTGGCAGCCTTGCCTCCCCACAAGAAAGAGAACAAGAGCTTCACTAACGCCAGTAAAGTGTCACACGAAAGTGGAAGCACAGAGAGTCGGTAAAGGAGAATGGGGTAGATGTGTGAAACACAAACTTCCGCCCTCCCCTTTAAGGAAAGATTCCTCCGAGACCACAAATTAATTGCGATCTCGGCCTTCCCTCGCACCTCCGACCAATTCATTTCCAAGTGGAGATCAGGACCGAACAAGACGCCGAGAATCTTGACCGGCCCATCCCGTCACGAGAAGAAAAACGGGTCTCTTGCACACAACAGATATTCACCCCGAGACGTTGAAGGTCGCGAGAGAGTCGCGCCCTGCGAGACTTTGACCTCAGGCCTCGGACATTCACGCTTGCTAACCAGGGAGCCATGATGAAACCGATTAGGGTTGCTCTCCTGCATTGAACATGGCCGGGGTCAGGACACCGACGGCCTCTCCCATTGAGCCTGTACCCATCTCACTCTTGATGGTGCCATCAGGAAACAGGCCGCCAATGTCCAAGGGGAATGTTAACTTTAATGCTCTGTAAAGGGAGGGGTGAACAAAAATTGGGTACCTCCCTGAACAATATTGCTGCAGTTTTTTGACGTTCTCGTCATCAAAGCACGACATGGGCGGAAATACGCCAAAAGTTTCGTTAGCTTCCGCCATCATGGCCCAGATTTGTTGGGCGGCAGCCCCAGATCTAACAACAGTTAAAACCCTTTTTGCTTTTGGGAAATTTCGGGGGTTTTCAACGTTCAGGTTCTTTATTTTGCGGAAGTTTAATAATGTTTTTAAATGTTTCATCTTTTTTGCATGCCTTAGTGCCTTTTCCTCCTGTTCTTTGGAGACGCGGCACACGTCTTCCCCTGTATTGTATGGAGGTTTTGCCTTAATCTTTTTTTTCCACTGTGGACTCAGGTGTATGGGAAGATGGGCTTCTTTGTCTTTTATTTTGATCCTGTTTTTTTGGTGTATGAATGGGAGTTTGCATTGGAGAGGGATTGGGTGAGTGAATGGGAGATAATTTTTTGGATGAAGGTTTTGTCACAGGACCTTTCTTAAGAGTGGTCATTTTGGATGTTACCCGGCTTAATGCTTTGACACTTGGGGGAGGGACCATGGGATAATGTTTAGTGGTAGGGGAAGACGGTGCCGATAAAGAGATGCCGGATTTCCTCTCCGAAGCTTGTCTTTTAGACTTTAGGGCCTCCTTTAGTTGTAGCAATTTCTCTTTTTTCTCAAAAGATGGTTCATACTGGATCATTTTGCTTCTTAGCATATCTGAGTAACGGGCCGGAGAATCGCCCTTTGCGCTGGTTGGGGGAGTGGGGCTGTTCGTGCCTTTTCCTGTTTTAGATGTGGAACGAGGTCCCGCTGCCTGGATCTTTCCTTTAGACCTACCAACGACCTGCCATTTCCTCCTCCCTTCTCCCTAACCGCATTAGCGGCGGGCAAAGGCTTTTCGGGGAATGGGGGCTGAGATTTGGACCCAACCGGGGGATTTTCCCCACTGGTCCCGGTCGCTGGCATGCCCACTACAGGCGAGACGGAATTTTTAGACTCGACCAAAGGGGGATTTGGTTGGGCGGGGGCCAGAACTTCAGAGGCCTTCATCTCTGTGCAGGAAGAGGAAAGGTGACCAGTCTTTCCACACTTCCAGCATGCCGGTTTCCGACCCGTCACAATTATAGGCATTTTCTGGCTCTTTACATCCAGACAGTTGGGGATGGAGCGGAAGGCATCCTGATTGATCATAATCTCGAAGCTCCACCCTCCGGTCAGATCATCTGAGGAAGCACTGAGAATCTGTCCAAACTGGCACAGATAAGCGGCCAAGTGCTCCCCGACAATCTGAGGAGGAACCTCATATACTGATACGATGGTCCTCCGCCTGCCTTCATACTCGGTCCTCATAAAATCAGGTCTTTGGTGATGAGATCACGAGTCGCAGCAGCTTCACAGTCGGCAGGCGTGGGTAACAGTACGTTCCACATAAAATAGCCTTTTCCTTTCACAACCCTCTGAGCTTTAATGTCCAGAGAATTTAAAGCTTTAATCACAGTGTCTTTTGTGGATCGACAAATCTTGCGCGAATGCTTGTCGATCACAAAGATTGACACAATTCTTTTTTCAACCTTTTTTAATTCCTCGGGATTAGGCAAGAGCCCATCTGCTGTCACCAGATGTGCGTAGCTCTTGGCTCTCTCCAGGAACTCCGTAATGTTGATTTTGCATTTCGGCGGGGACTTCCAAGATGAGGGCGTCTCTCCGGCCGCTACATTCACGTCATTATCCTTGGGGATCTCAATAGAAGAATTTCGGCCACTTTCGGCCACCGTAGTTTGGTCCTTTGAGCTGGTTTCTTGTTCTACATTTTGGCCATTGCTGGCCCCCATACTTTTTTCTTGACTACTTTTATCTTTTTCATTTTGGGATGGAATTGGATTATCCTCTAATTTTGAGGATTCTTCCGTCGCCATTTCTACTTCTTTTTCAGGCATTTTGTCGGGGGGGTCATTTTCTTTTTTTAGTCCCAAACAGGTTTTTTAACAGTTCTCTTGGCACTCATTTTAAAAT